GAGAGCTACAATGGTAGGAGGACCTGGTTCAATGCCCAGTACTGCAAACTAACTAACTTGACTAGTAGACAAAGTAAAATAACCATTTCTACTTCTGGCAATAACGAAGTTATCTCCTATTAGACCAACCTTTGGGCAGACAACAAGGAAAATCTGGATAATAACAAAGCAATAAACAGAGTGCTCTGGTGAGTAACTAAAAGCTTGCACTAAACTGCAGGGGAATTGAATTCAGAAGAGAGGAGGACCCCAGCGATTTCAGTTTTTTCCAGCCTGTTTTCTGAGTGCAGTCCCAATCAACACCATGTTTATTAAACACAGGAAGGAATTTTGCACACTTGCAGGCTTGAAGTACCAGAGAAAAGAGTTTGTTCACCACCGCACTTGAAGAGCAGAGAGAGAAATTCTGAAAAGGAGAGCATTACATAGGTGGAGCCCCAAATCCTGAGTGATTTCTGCTCAAATTTCTGACTAAACCCTGAGAGGTGCACCAGTGGAGCAGACTCCAAGCTGTTCAGCAGCGGACAGAAATGCTGAACAGATATTTCCACCGTGACACCTGCAGTGAGTCCACCATGGACTTGGGAGTTTGATTTAGCTAATGACTGCTTACTAAAGCAGAAGAATTTTTGAGGAATGTAGAAGAAGTCCTAGCGTACAACATGTACGCTTCAATGTCAAAGATGCAACCCAAAGCTACTAGACAAAGAAACAGAAAATGATACCCAGGAGCAAAAGGAAATCTAATCAATGGAAACCAATGTCATCATGACACAAGCGCTAGAATTAGCAAAGACTTTAAAGTTAACTTTACAAATAGAGGAAAATCAAAATACAGACTGACAGAGTCACTGCCTTTTTGACCTGTTATACCACTAGGAATAAATTCTTATTGTTTTGTCAAAGATCCTACATTTTCTCACTTAGTTACATTTATATCATGACAAGCTTCATCCTAGATAAGGCATTTATCTTTATTAAAATCAAAATATTAAGATAAGAGAGTAATATGATTACTTTTCCTAATTCTGATGTGAATGCAAAGTGATAATTCTTTTATAAACATTTGTAGAGCTGTGTCAGATGTGTGAGGTGACCTTGAGGAGTTTATTATTGAATTCTGTTTATGTATATGCTTAGGTAATTAGATTACCAAGAGTTACACACTAGAAGAAAGTAGAAAGTGACAAGAAAGTGCAGTGATAAAAAAGTTGGGCTTTTTCTGAGGCTGTCATGGAAAGGATCCTACAGGAGTTCACATACTAGACTGGAGATTTCAGGAAGGACAGGAATTTGCCAGGCAAAGAAGAAGCTGTGGGTGCATCAAGATAGAGCTGTGGAAAACTCAGAAGGAGGCGAGAAGTTCCACCTAGCTAGATGTTGTAGGAACCCCCAAACTGAGAACACAAAAACAGAGACTTAGTAAATAAACTCCTAGTTGCCCAGCATGAGATCAGAGCCCAGACTGCAACCAGGAGCATTTCTGCAATCCACTGCACAAAGACTCAGCCAGAGGAAAAAAAATTCTCACACAAAAGAAAAAATTCTGCTGTGAACAAAATTTAGCAGAGAAAAATAAGAGGATGAACACTCCAAGAGTTTGCAACATTAGAACAGTCCAGAAAAGGATTATTGAATAGGTTCTTAATTGCTTAAAAGAACAGCAATTACAGTGAGAAAACAGGACAGAGACAAAAGAAAAGGGTTGATTTGTAAGATAAAATGTCTACAAATATAAAAAGGTAATTGAGATTTAGAAATCCATCAGTGAATTATATGCAGATGGAAGATCAGTGTTCAGCAGAGAGAGGGAAGGAAAATAAGCAGAATGTGGCACAAAGAGTGAAAAAGAGAGAATGGAAGAAGTCAGGTGTCCTGGCCAACGTCTGTGATCCCAGCACTCATGAGGCCACACCAGGAGGATTATGAGTTCCAGGCGAGCCTGGGTTATACAGCAAGCTCCAGGTAAAGCCAGTCTTGCTACACAGCAAGACGAGAGAGAGAGAGAGAGAGAGAGAGAGAGAGAGAGAGAGAGAGAGAGAGAGAGAGATTGAGAGAGAGATTGAGAAAGAGAGAGATTTCTATGGAAAAGGTATGGCAGACAGACTCAGGTGTAGCCCATGCTTCCTGCCTGCTGGTGTTTTAGTTTTCCCGACCCTCTCCCTGTGTGTGGGTGGATGCATAATGCTTGTAACCCACAGAGCATGACAAAGGGAAGGGGATAAGTATGGTTCCATGAGCATGAATACATGATTATGTCATATAAGGCTGCAACAGCTCTCTTGCTGGAATCTTCCTGTTTTTGGCTTTGGGGAAGTAAGCAGCCAGTTTGGCAGTCCATGTGGTCAGGAACTATGAGCTGCTTCTGGGTACTAAGAGCTGCCTGTCACAGTGGTTCCTGCAACCTCAAGGAACTGAGTTCTACCAACAAGTCTATGAGCTTGGAAACAGATCCCTCTCTGGTGGTACCTCAGGTGAACACACTTCTTGTTGTCACCTTGATTCCTGACTTTTGAGCCCGTAAACATAGGACTCAGGTAAGCCATGCCTAGATTTCTTCACTACAGAAACTGTAAGATAATAAACGTGAGTTGTTTTAAGTTTGAGGTGATATTGTTACAGACCAACAGGTAAATAACACAAACGGGTCACATACATGAACCGATGGAGATATGGAATACAAACCCCAATATTTCTATAACATGAATCTCAGTTTTATCTGTCTACTCCAGATTATTTCTTAAACTATAATGTGGAATATCCAGACTGAGGAATTACTAAAAAAACTGAATTAATTACAAAATCTTATACTCATTCATTTATTCAGTGAATTAATATTCACCAAATTTAATTTATCATCCTTACAGACCTACTTCTCCCTAACAATCCATCTCCTTAGAGCTAGGTTGACCTATGACCAGCTTCATCAGGCTGGGTCAATGTAAACCTGTATTAAGAACAATTAGGGCTATAATTGGTTGTAGAATGCTAACTACATGATCACTTTCCAGAGAGGGAAGGTACAGGAATCTTGGACTTGATGCCATGTGTTTATTTGCAGTGACATGTGGGGGAAAAGATCACAGTTCAGGAGATCAGTATTAGGGATTTTGTGTTCCTTTTTTTCCTGTGTGTATGTGAGAGTGCACGCATGGTTGGCTTGTGGATATTGTAATGAGCAAGGCAGTCAAGACAAACAAAGATAGGTATCATCAGAAGATGAGAAATAGAAGATGCAGAAAAAAAGATTTTATTTTTCTGGGAAAATGTATAAAAGCAGTTGAAAATATGGAAGAATAAAGAGAAAAGAGTATTTTTTTAAGTCACAAATTGCATGATATGACATTTGGAAACTATAAGAGTAATTAACAATTACAGAAAATAGAGGCATCAGAATTATACAGAGAAAGAGATAGTAAGTGATTATTTCTTAAGTATATTTGGTAGGGAACACAATACATTTGGAATGACCTGTAAGTATATAATTACAGATCTGTCCAGAGAGAGCAAATGTGAAAACAACACTTTGGCTGTAGTCTACTTAGGATGAATTAAATATTAATGGAAAATATTTAATACTTAAATATTGGTGGAAAGGTTTTCCCTAAGTCTCTCATCATATAATCTCACTGTGTAAGATATCATCTGAAGCAGTGATATGGTACATTCAGCCTCTAATGTGAGAGAAATGACTGAACCATTACTTGTTCCCCATTTGAAATGACTGCCAGTCCTCCAGGGGATATAATTTGCTGTCTAAAATCTTCGATTACAAAATAAACTAAATGCGTTTTCTTTGCTTTTCTAGTATACTATTTAGTCCTTCTGTTTGTCTGAATGATATATTTATTTTACTTTGGTCATTTCTATGGAAAAAGAACTTTCTTAAAATTAGGACTCAATGAATGTTGAATATTATGCAAAGGATAAATTATCCTCACATTTTCAAACCAGGGTAGTTCCTAAAGATATAGACACACTCAAAAAATGACAACTAGCAGGTCAATGTTATTTTAGTTATATTCCAAATTAATTCATAGGATCAAAGTATTTTCCCTTTCAATGAACAGGACTAATTCTTTTTTTGGAAGGATGCATCCACAGAAAGATAATTAGCACAAGTGATAGCATGTCAGTAAAAACTGGATAGGAAAGTCAACCAACTCATTGTCAGCAATTCAAAATGATGCTATCTGTGTAAAAGGGAAAAATGTTGCAAAAAAGAGAAGTAAGCAAAATGGTTATCTGTTATTTCATTGGAAGAAAGAAGATCTTCTAAAATTAGAAATAATACCAATTTAAGTAATAATTTGAACACTGATACGACATCATTCTCTTTCTAAGTTACTGGGGATATATATAGTTCTGTTTTCTCTTTATATAGTTATCACATATCAGAGAACTGACAAGAATTCATTTGACTAGCTCTATAAAAACATACATGGATATAAAATCAGTTTATAATAATTTTCAAATTTTCATGTCACATATAATTGACAGGAATGAGGACCATAAATGGAAACATAACAATGAGTGAGGGAAACTTACACTAGGAAAGTAGGTACATGCAGAAGTGGAGTGGGGAGAAAGTCACATCTTAACTGAAATAGAAAACACTCAAATATCAGAGTATTACGACTGATAGTTATATTTGTACTGTATGCACTTAATAATGAGATATTTCTGGTGATAGTAAGAGCAATTTCTTTCATTTTAAAAATTAGAATAGGAGTGTATTTTATGTAGAGGCAAAGTACTTGTGATAGGCTTAAAATATCTTTTCATTTTTAAGACAGTTTTTATTTTCCTTTTCTTTGGCTGAACCCTAAAATGAATCAAGGCATTTCTTGACCTTCTGTGGGTTTTACAGTGGGGAGTTAAAAATCCTGCTCGCCCCACCCCACCACGGGCTCATCGTTCATTTGCAGGAGGAGGTAAGAGAGAATCTGGAAGAGGTTCTGCCACAGCAGGAGAGACACATAGAAGGACAGGCCGCTTACATCCAGCTCGCAGCGCTCGCCAGCGAAGGCCACCCCGCAGAGGCACTGGAACCTGTTCAGCAAGTCCTGGCACAAACCCCCGTTCAAGCAGGGGTCAGAGGCACACTCATCAATGTCTTTTTCACACCTTGAAAATAAAGGAGACAGAGAAACCCAGGGCCCTGTTGAATAAGCAGGCTATGACATCAAAGAGTTCGCCTGTCTACCTGGAAGGGCAATCTTATCCACCAATTTCCAAACATTTAGGAATACTTGATAATATGAGAGATTCCTTAAAATTCCTTTAATGAATTTTCAGTTTCATGGGAATGGTCTGCACACACACACATGCACACACTGAAATTCATTGGAATGAGAGAACAGGTGCAAATATTTACAAACCAAGAGAAAACGGGGTCATGCTTAAGCCAATTTCTCCCTTAAGAGCATTAGGGGGCTTGCCACCTTATAAATGCTCCTTTTATTAGGTGCACATAGAAGCCACGAGAGCAGGCAGGGTTTTTGCCAGACAAGAGCCCACAGAGCAGACCTCTACCCAGCTGTCAGGATTCTAATACTTCGGTGCCCTCAGGCTAGCCACCAAAAACAGACACAAAAATAATGGCTAATTTTGGGAAATTTTGAATTATTTTCCTTTGAAATCCCATTTTTAACATAAGCAAAAGCAATCAGGTTTCACTTGTTAATAAATCCATGTTTTAATAGCTAAGCTTTGGCTTTTTTTCCCTGATTGTTCCAACAAAATGACTTTCAAGGCCAAATTTTCCAAAAGGAGCAATATCCAATCTAAGATAAATTGGACACTTTTCCTTTTTCTTGGGCTACTGTCTCTTTTTTGCCTAATTTACTAACAATAACTTTTTTCTTTTGATATTTTGACTGATTCACAAAACATTGAAATTGTACCTATTTATGGGGAAATGGTAACATGATATTTTGACACACGTATATGTTGTATAATATTCTAATCAAGTTAAACAAATCTATCTCATCAAAATTTCTTTCTGGTGAAAATCTTTGAACTCTTTCTCTCTAGCTTTTGGCAATATCGTTATCTATAGTCAACAACTTGTTTTTCTGGATATTCATTGATTCAGTCACCTGGATATTCATTGGTTCAGTAGATTTTTATCTATCATGTGCCACTCTGCTAAGTTTTGAGATAGAGCAGTAACTAAGGCATCTATATTACCTTAACAAATTCATATAAAATCTTAGCTTCAAGAATCTTTACCGAGAAGCTTATGATGTTGAAGTTTCGTGTAAACAGTTTTTAATTTCCCCTACCTCCAAAAAGGTAGGAATTTCATGTATAAGTCAGGAACTAATCACTAGGCTTAAAATGACAGAGGGCGAGGTAGCAAGGCCGCTCCACTCCAAGGTATAAAGGAAAAATGGAGATTTCTTCCAAGCAAAACAGTTCCTTATAGCTGTGTTTTGGATACCAAACATAGCTGAGAGATTTTGTTTTCCTTTTTTGGCTCAGGCCTCTGGGCTGGAAGGAGCTTCCCTGATTAGATCTGAGCAGAACCTGACAACTCAGGAGCTTGCCAAGTACTTTCTGTCCTGGGTGGGCCGTGTGTTCACACCATCCATCCATCATTCACAACCTGCCAGAGTGGCTGTGTGAAGCTGGAGGCTCAGCCAGGCAGGAGAGAAGTCAGTTCCTTACAGGATAGCTGTTCCTCAGATACTATGGGAGTTTTGTTTCCCTAAATCTTGGGAGATGGCCCACAGTTTCCTAGTCTTTCCTTAAGCTACTCTTTTTGCTTTTGTACGTATTTCTACTTTGAACCACACAGTGAAAACACACACACATGCATGATAAGCATCATTGAAGCTTTCATTAGAAGGTAACTAATAGATGGAAAGTCAAAATAAGTCCATTTGCTTTCACCAAATGAGGATTAATGACTTTGAGAGTACAGAATATACTGCACACAGATTCACTCTTTGAGAAACTGTTTCACACCAGAGAAGTTTATCCAGATGAAAAGTCTCCTGTGAGAGAAATAATAATTATGAGCTTTCTTTTTTTCATGTTTCAAATAAGCAATTTGAACTTAAATGAGAAATTTCAATTTTTTTTTTTTTTTTTGGCAGAAAAGGGGTTTGAACTCAGGGCTTCTCATTTGCTAGGCAGGCGCTCTGCCACTTAAGCCACATCTCCAGTCCATTTTGCTCTGGTTATTTTGGAGATAGGATCAGTCTTACTTTTTGTTTGGGCCAGCCTAGACAGCAATACTATTTTACACATCCTATAGTAGCTGAGATAACAGGTGCATGCTAGCATTCTGTTGAAGTGGGGTCTACTCAACAGTTTTACCTGGGCTGGCTTTGAATCTTGGTTCTCCCAATCTCAGTCTCCCAAGTAGATAGGATTGCAGGTGTGAGTCACCATGCCTGGCCAAATAGGATTTTTTTTTAAAGAGGAAAGGAAATGCAGGTTGTTAATAGGGACAATGAACGAGTAGCAGAGAAAAATAATCCAAGGCTTTGGATAAAAGCTCTGTGCATGGTGCCACTCACAAAAACTGTGGTATTAAGCCAGGAAATAACCAGGACTTAAAGATAGTTGAGGAATTGTTCAAAATTTAGGACAAAGATACATTTATGATGTTTACAGAGATATGTGTATTTGGAATCAGCTGAATGATGTCTTAGTTAACAAAGTCAAATTTACCCAAAGTGTAAATTGGAGGAAACTATGTGTTATTTTATTAACTGCCCTTGGAGGAAAATTAATTCAGCCAAAATCTTTGTCAATTGTGTATGGCTTTATCTAAGTTTTTCTATGTAGGTAGCTTGATCAGAGATCAGTGTTCCTTACCCCAAATGGCATGTGAGGTGAAGGGACACATTTCTCATTTCCTTTTAACTGTGGTGAACAAGGATGAATTCAAGCAGTTATGTCAGCACATCCAATAGACAAGCTGAGGCTTTGGAGGCAACACACACTTAGATTGCATCTATCTGTCACTCACCCTCTTAAAAATGATAAAACCTTCCTTGCATATTGCTAAGCAAATCATATTTATACACACACACATATACAGATATATATACCTGTATCCTATGGAGATCTGATTTGCATCCACTTTGGCGACATAGAGTCCTTTGAGTTTTGGCTAAAAATTACAGAGAATTCACTCTTTCCCCCTTGATCTCACCCCTAGCCAGTGAAATATATATATATATATATATATATATATATATATATATATATATATAAAACTGCCTGCATTTTTAAGAGGTCACAGATTGTCTGAAGTTGGTGACTACCTCTGCACTAGGTGAAGGAAAATTAGAGGGTTTCTCTGGGAAATGTAGAATCATATGGGTAAGGTGTATATACTTTTCTTGTTGTACGTAATTCTATAAGGCAATCTGTTATGTGCGTTTTCACTTATTTCAATAGAAACCATATTTATATCATGCATTAGAGTTAGTGGGGAAAAACCATGAATGCAAAAGCACTTATACGAAAGAAAATAGCACATTATACATTTTTAAAAAAATATTTCCCTATTTGAAGTCTTGACTAATAAAATGTTCTCTACTTTGACCTGCACTGTAATTTTTCTTCCTTTTTATTGCTCAACTCTGTCCGGACCTATATTTCAGCATAGATTTTCCTATGGGAACAGAGATAAAAAATCAGAGGAGAAAATGAACTCTGAGTAATTCCCCTGTTCTTTAGCCCAAAAGTCTCTTCCAAAAAGTTCTGATGAGACTCACCATTCTCCAGTAAAACCTGACCGGCACATACATTTGAATTCAGTCTGGAACTGCATGCAGCTGCCTCCATTATAACAAGTAAGATTTGTCGTCTTGTCCCCACAGACTGTTGAGGGTAATCTGTAGTTTCTGGAGAGATAACAGTAACGGCCACAGTTGTTCATCTTACTCATTTCATTCAAGAAAACATTTTTGAAAAGTTCATGTGTGTAGTCAATGCTAAGCTAATTAAATATTGGGAATAGAGGAAGTAGAAATGCTGAATTGTGTCGTATCACACAGTGTCACTTTCTCCAGAAACAGCTTCTGCTGGAAGGTACAGCAACCAGGGTGACTATCCATCTTCCATTCTACACAGTTTTCGTTAGTAAGTTAAGATCTATGCCATGGGGTGGCCATAAATTTAAGGTTGGAAAGAATTTGCTGCTGCTTTGCTGATAAATCAACAAAGGCCACAGGAAAATTACGTCTCTACAAAGGCCAGGGAGGCAAGGACAGCACACTGGCAACCCCAGCACTCATGTGATTTCTTCGCTGGCTTTCAGAGCTGAACTCCAGTTGCCCTGCCATGACTTGCTGCTCCCTCTCTCATAATTCACAGCTTCCTTCACAGAAGGCAAGCCAAGTGCCTGGGAGGTTTGTCCAAAGCACTCAGTGTAACTGCAGGGGAATTCAGCATGGGACTCTTTCGTATAGCAGCAAAGCTGTACATGTTAAGGAATCCTCGTTAAAGGCAGAAGAAATTGTTAAAAGCTAATCAGAACTTCATGCTAGACAAATCCAGAGGTTTGAAGGGATTGATGTTTAAAAACAGTTTTAGAGTATTGCTCAGGTCCTTTGGCCCACTGTGAATATACATGGTATCAGATACAGAATAAATATTCAGGAAATACACAGTAAATTCACTTTTGTCCCGTCACATACTGCAGCTAATGTGGAGAAACTCCACTCCATGATGGCAATGTGTCTCTGCTCACAAGAGCTAACCAATTCTACTTTAAAAAGAAAATATCATAAGGATATTTCAAAAGAGTCAAAAATGTCAACTAGCTTTGAAAAAGGTCAATTAGCAACGCAAGTACAAAGCACTTTTTCTCAGTGTACATCTTAGGCTTAATGCACCGCTTCTGAATCTCATTAGAAGATACTTCTGAGAACGTTAGTCTTTAAAACTTGACGTTGATGAATTAGAAAAAACGTTCTGGGGAACTAGTTACTAGGGCATATATGTTTACTCATCCAAAACCACTGTGGAATACTACTGATCTTGATCTCTTGCTTTTAATCGGTCAGGTTACCTGTTGGATAATTCCTGGAAAGTGACATCTTAGTGGAATGTCTTCACTTGGCGTCTCTGGCTGTGCCTTGCCAGCATAGGCTCCAAACAGCAGTTCAGATGATATGCGTTTCTTACAGGCGTGGCTGCATGCTATGTGTGCTAAGAGATTCATGTAATCAAAGGACCACCTCTGAATTAGTGTAATGTCTACAGGATGCCCACCCACTCCAGGTGTTCTTGACAGGTGGTCTGGAATGTATTAATTGTTAGTAATAACCCTCTCACCTCATCATAATGACTCAATTATTAAGTAAATTTTAAAGTAGTATAAATCGTAAAAACAACAATGACTTCTGCTTACGAGAGAACATGAAGCAATGTGACTTAGCAAACATTCTGTCTTATTTCTGTTTACATAGCATAACACAGAGGTGGTGGCCAGAACTCAAATACTACTTTTATAACTTTAGAAAAAATTTGTGAAGTATTTGGAAATCAACAGAAGAGATGAGTGGATGTCTTTCACTGGACTGCTGGGTGTTATGTGAGAGACTTCCAGATGCTCAGAATCTGCATTGGTGTATGCCTCAGATTTTCCTTACTAAGCTGTATCACAGCTCTGTAAATTGTGTAAAATGATATTATACAAATAAATTCTGTCCATCAGAGTGCAAATGAATTTGTCTGTAACTATATAACTGTTTGTCACACTATACAAAATATCACTTCAAGCACTAATTTTGTTGTCCTATAGGATATTAAGCATCTTTGCATTTATTGGTAGATTCTTATAGACATATGCATAATCTTTAGACCATCCTTTGAACTAGCTTTTATATCTTATCAGTTTCTTTATTAATTAACAGTAAGTAAAATCATCAAAACATGTTCATTTAATGTTTGTATGACAGCCATAATTTTACCTTTTTAAAAAAATTATATTTTAATGTAGACTTTTCAGGATTTTTCAAGACTTATCTGCCTCAAATAACCTAGGGAATTATTTTGGTAATAAAAGTCCTTCTTTCCCTAACAATAATGGAATTCAGGTTTTTTTTTTTTTGGTATTTATTGCAAATGTATTTGTTTCCTGAGGTCTTAAGACTGCCAGACCCTGAGCTATAATTTATAAGACATTCTAACAAAGATGACTGAGAAAACATAATGCTTAATGTCTGGATGAAATGCTACCATCCACACTTGTAGACGTTCCAGTGAGATAAATCCTATCTTTACACAATCCAATTGTGATGGAAGTGACTGTATCCAGTCTTATTTAAGACAGTATATATATATATATATATACACTTTAAAGACAGAGCTTTCCAACTTGACTCAGAAGATGTAGACAATAACTCCAAAGACCAAGTTTCCTATGGATTTTATGCTCACTGCAAAATTTCCCTGTAAAATTCCCAGGACAGAGGCAAGAGTAGCCATTAGAATCACTAATGCAGGTGGCTCCATTTGCACACTGATGACTCTGACAGTTGTCTATATCCACTTCACAGTTCACACCAGTGTATCCAGGCTCACACCTGCAGTGGTAGGCTGCAACTCCGTCAGAGCAGTTGCCATGGATACAGGGGTTTGAAAAGCATTCGTCAGTGTTGCGTTCACAGTGTGTTCCTGACCATCCCATGGGACAGGAACAGTGATAAGAGCTATAGATGTCTTCACAATTTCCTCCATGCAAACAGGGGTCTGGGTCACAGGCATTTGACTGCAAGCATCCAGTCACCACTGAATTTGTAGAGATTTTGAGAAACTGCTCTTCCTGAGGGTTTTTAGTGAAACCATGAGCATTTTCAAAGTAAGAGAGAGAAATGCCTCCAATTTTTATTGTGCTTAGGCACCCCTGCAGACCCTTCAAATCGTCAATAGCTGTGTCACCTACATAAATGTCTGTGTTATCCTTTAAGAAGCTGAGGCTTCCAGTAGCAGTTGCACTGGTCACAAAAGGAGTTTGATTGTCCACTACCATTTGCCACCTGGAGGCCTGGGACAATGGGTCTATCATAGAAAGAGTCACTTGGTGCCACATGCCGTCATTCACTGACTGCAAACTTGTCAGATGCAGCATATAAAAACTGTTGCCACTTTGCAATTGGAAAAGTAATCTGGAATCTTGAATGCTGACATTAAGAAACTCGGGCTCTTTTTCTGCATGCAATATTAGCACATTTGCATCCCTTGTTCTGAAACCAAATGTGATATTGGTGAGCTCTCTGATAATGTTCCCATTGCTTCTGAACAACAGTTCACTGCTTTGTTCATTAAAAACAGCATTCCCAATACCTAAAGAGAGAAGGCAAACTAATTAGCAACTTTATTAAATCTGTAATGCTTGCTTAATTACCTCTACTAATTGTATGTTTGCTGTGTTAATGACATAATATAATTGACTGTTTCACAGATGTTAGGTATTGTGCTAGTTGAGTTCTCTTAATTCTAATACAGAACTCTTGAATTCAGGCATTATTCTTATCCTCATTTTTTGAAAGAAGAAATTGAAACTTACATAAGGTAAGTGATTTTCTCATGGTCATGAATTGGTAAGAATGTCCAACCTGGATGGTGTGATACCAAAATCCAAGCCATACAGGTCTTTTTCAATTGAAATCATAATGCATGCCAATTTTTATTTTTCTATTTGCTCTCATAAATAGGGCATTAGTCATTTTATTTTTTCATTTTAATTTTTTTTGGCAGCACTGAAGTTTGAACTGAGGACCTTGAGCTTGCTAGACAAGCTATCTACCACTTAAGTCACACCTCCAGATCCCTTTGATTATTCATTTTTACATAAATAAATTGAGCACATAGAAATCACACATTTAGCTATGGCAACACAGCAAGTTTATAGTAGTGTTTGGCTTCTAACCTATCAACAAGCTGTTAAAACTAGCAGCCCAACCCACTGACTGATTTATCTGGCAAAAATTCAATTACGTGCCAACCCACCAATTCTCTTCCTATAATCAAGGAGTTTCATGTGGTTGGGGAAAATATATAACCATAGCAATTGCTTTCACTTTATATGTACATACTATACATGAACACAGTACTTTCAGGCAATCTTACTACATTTCTCTTTTAAAAGTGTTTTCCCCATTCTACAAGATCATTCATTTATAGTTTCTCTTTCTCTTAAAACATCTAACCATATCTCAGTTTATGATCAACTTTGTCCGTTCTTGGGGAAACAGGAGGAATAAAAGTGCTCAGCTTTCCCCCAGATCTGTAACCCTTCCACTATCTGGATCCACTCTGTTTTGCATCCTGTGGTAATGGGCGTGCTGTCCTCCTCCCTCTCAAAGCTCAGCCCTTCCAACCATGTGTTGGGTTCATTCATTGCACCTTTTTGAGGCACTGCTCCTACATGCATCCTTTCTCTGCCCTGTATCATCATTTCCCTCCCCCTTTTGCTGTTTCCCAACATTGTACAAATATACTGTAATTGTTCCAATCTGAAAACACACAAGACTCAAAAGAACCTCCCTCACATGTTCCTACTCTGCTGCTTTCTGATCTCTATATTCTCTTCATCCTGAAAATTTCTTAAATTTTTTAACCATTTTTATTAGCATATGGTAGTTTTACAGAAGGTTTCATCGGGACATTTCCATATATGTCATATTGCACCCAGTTTGGTCCATCCCTGCCATTATTTTCCCTCTTCCCCTACACTACAAATTAATAGTTTTGCATTTTTTATTGTCTCAACTTTCTCATTTCCCATTTTCTCTGCTTTTGTCCCAATCACTTCATTGAAATGGCTCTTTTCAAGGTCACAGTGAGCTCCATATTATTCAATTCAGTGTTTAACTCTCTGTTCTCACGTTCCCCCTCCCTCACACCCTTTTCATTATCAATTGGTCTTAAAATACTGTCATTGCCTTCCTCATCAGGCTCTAGACCCAATCATTTCAACTTTCTCACCAACTAATTACTTCTTAGTGTCTTACTTCTGTGATGTTGAGGATAAATGACACAACCACTCTTTGGCTCAAGATATTGATTAGTTTCTATCACATCTAGAAAGAAATCCTGAATTCTAAACATCACCCACAAGAGTCCCCGTGATTAACTGTCCAATTCCAATTCCTGTTGCTTTCTCCTTCAGTTACGTGTCACAGCCAAGAAAGCTTCTTGCCATTCATTAAAGACAACAAGCTTGTTCCCAACTCAGACCTTCTATGCTTGCTGCAACTTCCCCCACACTTTCCTACACCTGGCTTCTCCTCAGTGTTGTTATCTGTGTAACTGTTACTTCTCTGAGAAGCTTTGTGAACGTTAGTCTTCTCCCTACATTTATCTGCTGCCCCATTACTCCGCTTTTTTTAAAATCACTCCACTCAGAACTATATCGTTCATCTGTTTACTTGTTTCTTGACGGTCCTTCCACAGTAGCACCTAAGCTTTACTAACTAAGTCCTCACTGACTGACTCCCTATGCCTACAATATTGCCTGACATATTGTTTTTGATTGTTTTGCTACAAGATTTAGGGGTGGTGATTAAGGAGGGAAAGAATAGCAAGTGTCTTAGTATACATTTTTAAGCAAATGTTAAAATGACAAATCTCATTAGCTCTCTAACTCCAAAAAGAAGAATACTTTCTACTTATATCACTTCTTATATATTAATAAAACACACAATACACGTAACATTTATACTTTGCCTTTTCTTCAGATAATTTTGCCAAAATGAGCACACTTGTATCTAAGGTGAGTTGAAAAATTTTAAATCTGGATTTAATCTTGGTAGAACATGGAAATAGAGATGATTAAAGTCCTGAAGAGAAACTCAAATTAATGTGTGAGCTGTATCCTCAAGACTATACCATTCTATTGGACTTAATTTTCTCAATATATTTTATTCAGAAGTAAAATACAATAGCACCATATGATCACATAAAATTAAAGGTAGACAAAGAAGCAAAAATAAATTCTAGGTTCATAACCTTCAACTGGGAAAATGATATACAATCCCTACTGTAAACCTCCTATTACTTAACGTTTTCCCGCTTCATTACCGTAAGTCACACTTTAAAAAATGCTTTTAGAGTTTTTTTGAAATGCCAGACTTTCTACTCTTTCTGTAGCAGCAATGCTGTAGTCAAGACTGACTTCACTTCTTTCTGGTGACTATGTATTCAAATCCTAATGGCTTCAGGTATAGACTATTTTGGGGGTGCACTGATTTTAGAAATCCTACTCTTTTGTCCCCTCTGAAAATGTGAAGAATGATTTAGACCCTGTTGTAAATTACAGCTGAAATTAACAACTTTAATATTTCTACCAATAGATCAATAACAAAATTAATAATTAATAACACATTTAAAATAAATATTTCATTTAGAACAATGGAAAATATTGCACTTACAATCCGTGTCAGAGCCAGGCATGTAGCTCACTGTAGAGTACTTGCCTAACATGTGCAAGGCTCTGGGTTGAATCCCAAGTACCATAAATGAATAAATAAGTAGAATAAAAGTCTGTGCTATATTAAAGACCAGACTGCATTCTTCATGCCAGCTCTTCATGTTTCCACCTGTATATTGTATATATTTCATAAATATGAAATGTAAATACATACATTCCTCTAGAAAACTTCCCCCAAATGTATGTGCAATGTGCTGCATTTCATATAGATCTTTTAAATATGTGTTTTTAAAGTGTAGAAACATAGAAGTAATATATTCTCTTTCTGCAGTTACTCCAGGCTCAGTCTAAATAGGTATTGGCAACTGGCTTTAGTCTATTCTATTCTCTACTTTCATTCCACAGTGTTTTATATGTATTTCCAAGGGCTGATAGTAACTTGAAAAAACATAGAAAATTTTCTTGCATTGTGAAATTTATATCCTTTTGAGAAAAGAGATGCTAAACAAATAAGCAAATACATATGTAACAAAACATCACTGTAAGAGATATAATGAAAAAGCCAGGTAGGAGGACACTTAGGCATACACCGGAGTGGCGTGATAAAGGGAATGTGTGAAACTCTGTGTTAAGAGGGTTTACAATAAAGATGGTGGTGGCCTGACTAATGGGGAAAAGAGAGGATGGAGTAAGAAGGACATCAGAAGCATATTGAGAACAACTTCTTTAGAGAATTCTCACTGTAAAAGGAAGCAGAGAAGTAGAAAAGTAGCAGGTTAAAGAAATTTTTTTTGCAATGAGTAAAGTTGACGGTATGCTTATACACTAATGGAACAAAATGTACTTCCTGGAAAGTAAGAGAAAAAACTTAGAATAAAAAGCTTTTAGAAGCAAAATCTTTGAATATGGGGGAGATATTCAAATTCAATTCAAACATAGAGTTATAGTTTGAAGAGGGAAGGTAATATAAAAAATAGTGTGATGAATATGTAAATCTAAAATTGTGAATGCAGTATTCAGATTATTATCATGAGAAACTGTGTTTCTTGAATGTTAGGAAAGGGGGGACAAGAAAACCTTTCACGTGGAAGAAAATGGCCATGGCAAGAAGCCTCATCCTGGTACCCAACCTGTTTGATGATTTGCATGCATAAGGGCACATGATCTCACAAGGAAACCTGCAAAATAGCTATTGGCATCTCTGTTCATTGGTGAGAAATCCTTAGATTATGGCGATCATGTGAACTGCCAGAGGCTTCCAGTTAATAGATGGCAGTGTGCTAACACCACCTCATTTACTACATATTCCCAGTAATGAGGAAGGAAAGAAAAACACATATCACCTGCCTAATTCTTCCAATATCAGCTTGAACTGATGAAGGACCTGATTTGGTTGCTATGTCCCCATTTCCTACCCAGACACTCAGGGTATGATGAGGCAGGACACTACTCTTGATCATAATACAGCTAATAACAAGTTTATTAAACTACTCACATAGGAGAACCAACCACAGATTTCTTTAATAAGTTGGCTGGGTCTGTATTACATGTTTTTCTGTTTCCTGTTGGAATAACTGAAATGCACCATGTTAACTAGATAGAAGAGAGTTTTCAACACAACCTACATTCAAACCCTTGAGGCATTGGCTGGCATTGGGCGCTGGGAGGACACGGGCTGGACTCACACCACCGAACTTCTTCACAGGCTTTGCCTACTGTGTGTGCAGGACAGGAACAGGAGAAGTCATCCCGCAGGGAATAGCAGACACCGCCATTGTGACAGGGGTTAGGCTGAGTAGAAAAGAAATTGAATGCATAAAAAACAGTGGCAACCAAGTATGGAAATGTTAAAGGCAAGAGCATATATCTGTTACTTTAAAATGTCAGTTTCCCCACTCTGTTAGATGTTCAACTCTTAATATATATTGTTAATGTGTGGAATAAAATTGACTACTGTAATTGCCGACTGCATTCTTAAAGAGTAGGAGGGAAAGAAAGGGATAGAGAGGTGTCAGAAGAGAGGGAGGGAGAGTGAGTCAGAACAAGAGAGAATAATAAAATTGATCTATAATATGACGAGGATTGTTGAAGTATAACGATGCTCTCTGTAATTTATAAATTACCAGGTACTTTCATATACATTAATTGTCACTTGAGATGGGGATATTAGTCCTGTTTTTACAGGAAGTAAGGAAGCTGAGCTCTCTCAGGTGCCCAAGACACCCTAGAGCAATGACATGGTGAAGTGCGGTGCCTGGCTGCTCTGGGTCCTGATCCAATGCCCTCTCTCCTTATTTGCAAACCAAAAGCATAGCATTATCATCAGCATTACTATTTCAGTTCTCACAAGGTCCCTCACAAAGTATTCAAAATGAAGTATTTTACAAGGAAAATTTTAGACTCTAGACTATATTTATCCAAGGTCTCCTATTAATATGTGATTTAGGCTACTCATATAACCTTTTTTGGGTCCTGGAGAGTGAACCTAGGGCCTCCTGCATGCTAAGCATGTGCTCTACCACTGACCTTCAACCCCAGCCCATGACAGAACTCTTCTAAAGTTCAGTCTCTTTATCTATTAATAGCACAAATGGGCATAACAAAGTTTTATACAGTAGTCCCTCAACAGAATTAAGTGGATTTATCCATGCAAAATAGTGTCTGGTGCATTAGAAGTACTGCTGCAATGATCCATTTGTATATATTTAGAGTTGAGCTAGTGTGTTGGTGACCACTGGAACTCAACAATGTTCAACATATATTAATGTGCTTCCTTTTTTCCCTCTGCAAACTCATACAGAAACGACAATTTCATATATTTAAAGCAAACTCATGGAAAAAACATACAAAAACATGTAAAACAAAACATTGGCTCTAGGAAATAATATTTCAGAGGATTGCAAATCCAACTACCAGAAGGAAGTTACCACTCAGATTTTTTTTCTTGTTAACTTAATAAAAGTTTGAAAGAGTAGCGGAGCATTTAAGCTAAAGTTCGTGGAATCTTCCAAACAGAGTTAGTTCAACTAAACCTCCGGCTCTCAATTAAGAGTTTAATAATTAAGATTAAAGTTATTCTTAATGCTAAAAAAACATATAACAAGTTATCTTGATTGTTGTAGATACCATAAGATCAAGATCATATTTTTATGGTTCCATGTAAATACCCTAGTTCTTGCTGGGAACACATAGATGAAACTCTGTTCTGTAGTGATGGGTCAGTAATATTGGCTTCATGTTACAAAGAATGGTTTTAGTAAATTATCTATTTAATAAAAAATTCAGCAATAATGTGTAATAGTTGCTATGTGCAGTCTTACCTTGCAGACATCATCTCCAGGACAGCCTTGGGTCACATTGACAAGAATTGGATTGCTGAGATGCATTGCTTGTTGAATTTGGGAAGAATTCCAGATTTTGGTTGTTCAATCTTTATATCTTGTATACATCCTTTGAAGAACCCACCATTAACTTCTGTCTTTTTGCCTGTCAGGCAGGCCACCAATGTAGATGACATCTCCTCTTTGGATTTTCCATGTAGGAGCAGAAATAAATCCTAGGTTTGTGAAGGTGAATTTATTTGACATGATTTTCAAAGATATTAAGTGGGCATGTCCATCACTAAAAGATTAATGTTTGCAACTAAATTTGGGAGAAGCCTGAGTCAGTAGTTCAGTGCCTAAGCTCTGCCAGGACACGGACATTACCGGTAAGTGCCTGTTTTCCAAAGTCAAGAAGGAGGCCTGTATGGACGATGTGTTTGGACAAACATAGAGAGGCTGAAAGTTCTTCCATAGCTCTTAATCAAAGAGTAAAGACAGCATAATCCAGTGG